ACAACTCCAGTAGACTTAGAACCTAGCTCATAAGAACAGTAGTAAGTCTGAATTCAATAGCCAAGCCCAACATCACATAGAATAGACACCAAGACCAAACGAAGGATTCACATATGATTACAAGCAATAGACTGTATGTTGAACTAAATAAATAGAGTAAGAAGTCCATATACTTAGTTCTTAAGACTGTAAAGCTCATTATCACTAAGACACATAGAAAAACTCATATGGCATGCTGGCATAACACACATAAGACAAATTCATGTCTACATTTTGAAGGTCTAGGGGAAACGATTGATAAGAGAGCAAACCACTCCAAATAGAGTTGCAAAGTAAAGCATGATCCAGATTTAGCCTAAAAGACTTTAGATATAAGAGTTTTAACATGAGGTCTATCAGAATCAAAGACAGGAACAAGTGAAATAGCAATCTTCTCATGGAAGTTCTAGCATGAGAGCCTAGTGATGGTAGAATAACAAATGGGCTAGTGGGCATAGTCAACAATGGTTGACAAGCAATCAGTTAATTAAACTTAACATGCTGAGCATCAGTCAAAAGTTCAGAAACATTACCAGAACTCATAGTAGGTAAAATATGTCAATTCTAGATTAACAGGATATGTAAGTATCAAGACTTAAACCAGTTAACAACATATAACATAGGAGGCTATATATTGGAGTCTTAGGCAATATTTGAAGAACATAGAGTTAAACAAGAGAAAAGGCACACTTTAAAATGCAAGAAAACGTGTCATGCTTGTTTAGAAGTTCAAGAGACACTGGCATTAGAAATTACATGAGCATTGATCAAACATAAGAAAGTTAACAGGTTATACATGAATGACTCAATGGGAAGTAATACATTAGAACAAATTCTGGACATGAATCAATCTATCACGGGAATATGAAACGAGCAGAGAGATGAACTTATGACAAGCAGCAAATATAAGCATACACAAACACACCAGGTTAAGCAAGACAGTCAGAAGTCATGGGCATACAACAAAACTTTGATGCTAGGAAACACAAGGATACAGGATAACTTCAAAGCAAAGAAGACCACAAATAGAGACAACATAGTAGCATATTAGTTTATCAAAGCTTAAGTGACATGGATATACAGAGCATGAACACAAGCATAAGAGAATGAAATTACGAGAGTCAAAAGTACTTACCAGTAGAAACTAACGAATAAGTAAAATAGAAAAGCAAATTTCAGCAATACATTAAAAATTAGTAGCGATAGAGGACAACCAAACCGCAATCCTAGTGTGTCAAAGTTCACAAGGACTTCTGATGAGTCCCAAGTAGTGCTCATACTGGGAGGTTGAGAATGCAAATACCAATAGCCTTGGCTTTCAGCCGGGCAAAAACAATAGATTCAGAATAGTATCGAGTGAGTGAGAGTAAGAGAGAATAGTTATTTCCCTGATCTGTCCTAGGGGATTTGGGGAACAATTTATATAGTAGTCGAAATCAAACATCTAAAAAAGGAAACACAATAAATCAAACATAAATAAGGAAGGAAGAGCATGCAGAATCGTTTAAGAACCAAACTAGGAAAAAATATCAAGCAAACCCTAGTTTGACCGGAATCAAAGATTGGTTGAAGATCTTGGTAAATCAGACTCGTATGACCTTGCCATGATGCATATAGACAACATATCATCAAAATATCGAAGGGCGAAGCCGATTTCCATTGATTTGGAGAGTGGTATTTGCCAAAAGTGAGGCAGATACTAAGTAACACCATAACCTTATATGTAGCGATGAGGTAACGCGTAAAAGGTAACAGAATCACATAAGGAATCCATGATTTGGTCAAATTCAGAGAAGATTTGGGATAAGGCTAGGGTATGTGAAGTGAGGGGAGGTTTTGGGAGCGTATAAAGGCGGCTGACCGGGAAATAAGGCTAGGGTTTGGGGTGAGGTTAATTAGAAGAGGGATATGGCATGTGGGCCTTTGATCTTGGGAGATCAACGGCCGAGATTCAATGAGAAGCGGATCGGGTTAGTGAACGGGTATGGGGTAGTGGATCGCTAGTAATGGGTTAGGCGTTATTGGGCTGGAGTTTAGGGTGTGGGCTGGTGAATTGGGTCCGAAATTAGCTCAAAATTGTGCTACAAATTAAATACACAAAATTCATAGAAAAATAAATTATAAAAAATGACTAATAAATAATAAAGATATTATTCATGTAGTAAAATGCTTGAAAATAACTGCTTAACATTATAAGAATATAAAAATGTTGTTTCAGTATAAATAATATAATAAATGTAATTATGTATAGAACATAGGCTATTATTCCAAAATTATGTAAAATAGCTTTAAAATACAAATATAATTATATGCCATGAAATAAAATATTATGAAACATATATGTGTATGAAAATAATATATTTGGATGATTAAGTCATCACAAAATAATTTAAAGGGGTAATTAATACATATTAAAGTATGCTGCTAGCTAATGTTGATACATGATATAGGTATGGGCAGTAGGAATTTTGATCACATATGCGTATTCCTACAAAATCTTTTACTAGGGTTTTTGTAGGGTGCAGGGTTTCAGAACAGTGTGCATGGTAAGGTTGGGATATTATTCAGTGGTATTGACATGTATTCATGTCCAATCTGGAAGTGTTTCAGCAGTACTAACACATGGTATAAGCTTCATAGAACTACATCCTCTACTCTATATTGCTGGAGTATATTGCTACTCACAGGTTCACCTTGCGCTTTGATGCTGCTAATTTACACATGGAGAGTAGTATGGATGCATACACTGATCAGCTTAATGGAGGTTTGGACAATTCCAGTTGAAGATGTTATTTGGAGATTCACATTTGCCTTGTCCTATGGAACGCAAAACTTGGTGCCTGGTGAGAGCTTTGGAGGTGCTACATTGAGGTTTTGCACTTGGCTAGTTGATACACACATCTTCAGAGGGGAGTTGGCTTGGACAGAAGTTGTAATAGTTAGAATTTTATATTTTAGTAGCATTAGTTTTAGCTTACCTTTTTTGAGATTTGTTTGGACAAATTGCAAACTCTGGATCATTATTTTTGTTTATTTATATATATATTTGCCACTAGGAAGTCTGCCTGGTGGTATATTTTCTAAAAAAAAAGTAATTTAAATGCAAGCAAATCAATTTTAAAGCTTTAAAAATTATAGAAAATTATAGAAAATACTTATATGACCCCCGTAGATTAGGTAATAATGCAAAAAGTGATATTTTGAAACTATACATGATATTGATAAAATGTGAGAGCAAAATTGGGTATCAACAGCTAGCCCACTTTACCCGGGAATGATGAAAGTATTGTCGGGTAAAGAAAATAATGACCAATTCTGTCCGAAATAAGTGGGGAATGATGTATTTTGAAAAATGGGGGGGGGGGGGAGCGAACACTGGTTCTTGAGTTGGCTACATATCCCTGGTGTTACGGGAATCAGGCCGTGTGTAGTTCTGGATCCAACAATGAACGAAACGGATGGAGTTGTTATAAAAGTAGTTGTGTGTTTCGAAAAGGATCTTTTGGATATGACAGGGTCGTGAGTAACTGATAATTTCAGGTGAAGCTTATGAACGTGACTTTGAACGTTACAGATGTATAAGGCGAATACTTGCGTAGTTACAGAACAAAGGGTAACCAATTGATGATCGCCGGTTACTTTTGAGGTGATTGAAGGATGCGAACATTGTGAACAGAGAACGGAGGCGAGAACTACTCCTATTTGTAGAACGGTTACCTCCCGAGTTACCTACGAAACTTAAAACACGATGCACACAAATATATATGGGGTTATTGTGAAAATTAAAACATGATGCAAATTCCCTTCGGACCATGAGAGTTGTCTTTGGATGATGCGGATAATGTCCTTAGACTATGACGTCCCGGGTCATGAAGCGTTATGATAAGGGATTCGCAGGCCATGGAATGGTGTCCTCGAGCCATGAGGATGATACCTCTGGACTATGACGCCTTTAAATAATGATATGCAATTTTGAGAGATCCTCCGGCCATGGAATGATGTCTTCGGGCTATGAGGATGATGCCCTCAGACTATGGCATCTTCGGACAATGCGGCGATATTTCAACCCATGAAATTCAAAGATGCAATGATATCGATCGTTCGATAGAGAAAACATTTAATGCTTAGTCATATGCGAGAACGAGATGAGACAAGGCTTAGTCTTGTATGAAATGAGGGCAGTGCTTAGCCCGATGCAAAGAGTGGAGACAATGCTTAGTCTCATGCAAGGAAAGGTAGTGCTTAGCCTTATGCAATGATGAGGGCAGTGTTTATCCCTATGCCAGGAGTGGAGATAATACTTAGTCTTATGCAAGGAAAGCCAGTGCTTAGCCTTATACAAGGAAAGGCACTGCTTAGCCTTATGCAATGGCGAGGGAAGTTTTTAGCCTTATGCAATAATGGAGGCAATACTTAGCCTCATGCAATGTAATGGAGACAATGCTTAGTCTCATGCAAAGAAAGGCAACGTTTATCCTTATGGAGTTATGGAGGCAGTGCTTAGCCTCGTGCAACGTAATGGAGATAGTGCTTAGTCTCATGCAAGGAAAGGCGATGCTTAGCCTTATGCAATGGTAAGGGCAGTGTTTAGCCCTATGAAAAGAGTGGAGACAATGTTTAGTCTCATGTAGGAAAGGCGGTGCTTAGCCTTATGCAAGGAAAGGCAATGCTTAGCCTTACGCAAGGAATGGGGACAGTGCTTAGTCCTATGCAAGGAAAGGCAGTGCTTAGCCTTATGCAATGGTGGGGGTAGTTTTTAGCTCTATGCAGGAAGAGCAACGATTAAGTATGATGGGAAAAGTGATTCTTAGCTTGGCGCGTTTGTGTTTGGCGACTTCTGTCGGTGTGAATATAGTGAACTTGTTGTATGTATATATTTGCAGACATTCTTGTTATGTCCATTGTGCCCGCATCCAAGGAAAATTCGTGAGTTTTGAATGGGGAAGGTTGGTTCGCGCTCTCTATTCCATTCTTTGCCCTTGCTCTTGTTCCAAGGTCCTGTTTGAGTCATCCTGGGTAACATCTGACTGCTACAGAAAAATGAAATTTTCAAAAAACATGCATTTGTTATAAATTGTTTATATATAAATGTAGTTGTTCAAAATATGATAATGCATGAAAGCAAATAGTTTGTCGAATCGGTGATTGTGACACGCTTTTGAGACATTGCAACCTCCTTAATGTGGAATTTTGAGGATCCTCCTCAAAATTCTTCCCCAGTTTAAATGCATACTTCTAGCGATACATTCCTTGGTGATCCTAAATACGATGGGATCGAGCAACCTCGAGATCTTGCCCTAGTTTCTGACCATAGGGGGAATGAAGATTTTATTATGATGTGACTGAACCTACAGGGCTACCTACGTATCCCCTCTTAAACGTGAATCATGTCGAACATAGTTTAGGGTACATCAAACAGAAAGGGCAAACATAATCTTAAACATAATGTCTCTTGACTGCGTTCAAATTGATAGGTTTTGGCTAAATCTCTACATCCATCTCTTCAAGTATAAGCGCTCCTCCTATTAGTACTCGGTGAACCATGTAAGGGCCTTACCAGTTGGGTGAGAATTTCCCCTTTGCATGATCCTGATGTGGGGAGATTCGTTTCAGCACCAATTGCCCTGCGTGAATTGCCTTGATCTAACCTTTTTATTGAAAGATCTTGCCATTCTGTACTGGTAGGTTGACCGTGACACACTGTTTTCATTCTTTTGCCATCAATGAGAGCTAGTTGTTCATACCGGTTTCGTACCCATTCCGCGTCGCTGAGCTCGGCCTCTTGTATGATCCTTAAGGAAGGAATCTCTACTTCGGCAGGGATAACGGCTTCGGTACCATAGACCAGTAGATAGGGGGTTGCCCCAGTTGATGTACAAACTATGGTGCAGTATCCAAGCAAAGCAAAGGGTAGCTTTTCGTGCCTTTTCTTGTAGTTTTTCACCATTTTCCTCATTATTTTTTTGATGTTCTTGTTGGCGGCCTATAGCTCCATTCATTTGCGGCCTGTACGTTGTAGAATTCCTACGCTTGATCTTGAATGCTTCGCACATAGCTTTCATCAGGTCACTATTGAGATTTGTAGCATTGTCAGTAATGATTGACTCAGGCACTCCAAATCGACAAACAATATGATCCGGGACAAAATCGGCTATGACCTTCTTAGTCACTGCTTTATCGGAAGCGGCTTCAACCCATTTTGTGAAGTAATCTATAGCCACCAAGATGAACCTGTGTCTGTTTGAAGCAGCGAGTTCAATTGGTCCGATGACATCCATTCCACAAGCAGAGAAAGGCCAGCGTGAACTTGTTGCATTGAGTTCATTAGGCGGTACTCGTATCATATCAGCATGTATCTGGCATTGGTGACATTTTTGAACATATTTGATGCAGTCTGTCTCCATAGTCATCCAGAAATAACTTGCTCTTAATATCTTCTTGTCCAAAATGAAATCGTTCATGTGAGGTCCACAAGTTCTGACATGTATTTCTTCGAGCAGGCTAGATGCTTCCTTGGCATCGACACATCGCAAAAATCCAAAATCAGGAGTCCTTCTATATAGAATTCCTCCGTTTTAAAAGAAATGATTAGCCAATATTCAAAGCGCGCTTCTGCGTATGTGTAGCATTCTCTGGATATTCTCCATTTTTCAAGTATTCTCTGATATCGTGGAACCATGGATTTCTGTTAAACTCTTCTTCGAGATGAGCACAATAAGCCGAATGCTTACGAATTCCTATTGGGATAAGATCGATGAAATTCTTCTCTGGATGTTGTATCATGGAAGACAAGGCAGCTAGTGCATCTGCGAACTCAATCTGGATCCTTGGAACATGTTTGAATTCTATCTTTGTGAACTTCTTGATCAACTCTTGTACACAATGCAAGTATGGCAATATTTTAGTGTTCTTAGTAGCCCATTCTCCTAGTACCTGGTGTACCAATAGATAAGAATCTCCAATTACCAGCAACTCCTGAACGTTCATGTCGATAGCCAACCTGAGTCCCAAGATGCAGGCCTCCTATTTTGCTATATTGTTGGTGCACGGGAACCTGAGTTTTGCAGACACCGGATAATGTTGACCGGTCTTTGATACTAAAATAGCTCCGATACCCACTCCTTTGAAGTTTGCTGCTCCGTCGAAGAACATCCTCTAACTGTCATATGCTTCGGTAATATCCTCACCTACAAACGACACTTCCTCATCAGGAAAATATGTCTTCAGCGATTAGTATTCTTCATCTATGGGATTCTCCGTTAAGTGATCAGCCAATATTTGTCGCTTACTACCTTTTGAGTTACATAAATGATGTCGAACTCACTCAGCAATATCTGCCACTTTACTAATTTACCCGTAGGCATGTCTGGAAGATGTATTTTAGTGGTCCATCCTTGATAAGAGATATGTAGTGTATGCACAGAAATAATGTCTCTGCTTTTGGGCTATCCATGTCAAAGCACAACAGGTACGTTCCAACAGAGAATACCGTCCAAAACGGACAGATAATGTAGTTGTGGTTTGGAATGGTAGAGTAAGGTCATTTCCTCGGAAAGGTAGGGTGGGGTGGGTGGTGGGGCAGGGGTCAGGGGGTAGGTCAGGAGGCAAGGGAGGTAAGGGGAACAAGGGAGCCTATAGGTTGAGAATTGGGTCATGGAACTTAGGAACATTGACGGGTAAGTCTATAGAGTTGGCAAAGATCCTCCATAAGAGGAAAGTCAATATAGTGTGTCTAGGAGACTAGTTGGGTAGGATCGAAGGCGAGGGATGCAGATAGGTATAAGTTTTGGTACTCTAGAGTCCGGAAGGTAAGAATGGAGTGGGTATCTTGGTGGATAGGGATCTTAGAGAGTTTGTGGTTGAGGTTAGACAGGTGAATGATAGATTAATGTCTATTAAGATGATGGTTAGGGAATGCACCCTGAAAATCGTTAGCACCTACGCCGCATGCAGGCCTGGATGAGGAGGTTAAAAGGCACTTCTAGGAGGGGTTGGATGAGATTGTTCGTAATGTTCTGCCTGCTGAGAGGCTATTTGTAGGAGGGGATTTCAATGGTCATATTGGGTCGACCACAGGTGATTATGGCGAGGTGTATGGTGGCGTTAGTTTTGGGGAGAGGAACGGATAGGGCTCCTCGCTATTGGATTTTGCTAAGGCTTGTGAGTTGGTGATTGCGAATTTTAGTTTTTCAAAGAGGGAGGAACATTTGGTTACTTTTCAAAATACAGCGGCAAAGACTCAGATTGACTATCTCCTCCTCAGGAGGTGTGACAGTGGCATGTGCAAGGATTGCAAGGTTATCCCTAGTGAGATCCTCGCGACGTAACATAGGATCTTGGTGATGGATGTCGATATTATGTTAAAGAGGAAGAAAAGGTGTGTTTGAGGATGATGGAGGATCAAGTAGGGAGCCTTTACTAAGGATAAAGCACATGAGTTAGAGGGGCGATTATCGGCTGTGTGAGCCTAGATGAGTAGTGGGATGCGAGCATTATGTGGTCGACGGTAGCAGCCAGTATATGAGAGGCTGCGAGAGAGGTGTTAGGGGTCTCGACTAGCTACTCTGGCAGGCACAGAAGAGACTAGTGGTGGAATGAAGTGGTCCAAGGGAAAGTGGAAGCGAAGAAGGAGGCGTACCAGAAGTTAGTAGGGAACACAGGTGAGGAGGAGAGGAGAGCGTTCATGGATAGGTAAAAGGTATCTAGGAAGGAGGATAAGCTGGCGGTCATGAAGGCTAAGACTGCGGCTTTTGGTGGTATGTACGAGGAAGTAGGAATCATTCCGGCTGGCCAAGGCGAGGGAGAGGAAGGCTTGGGATTTGGATACAGTGAGCTGCATCAGAGACGAGGGAGGTAAAGTATTGATGGGAGAGGCCCAGATTAAGAGGAGATGGCAGACGTACTTTCATAAACTTCTGAAAGAAGAAGGGGATCGGGATATTGTGCTAGGTGAATTTGAGCATTCCGAGAGTCATCGTGACTTTGGGTACTGTAGGTGTATCAAGGTTGATGAGATTGTTAGAGCTATACGTAAGATGAGTAGGGTCAGAGCGACCAGGCCAGATGAGATTCCGGTTGAGTTTTGGAGGTGTGTGGGAAGATCAGGCTTGGAGTGGCTGACTGGGCTTTTTAATGTTATTTTTAGGTCAAAGGATGCCGGATGAGTGGAGGTGGAGTATGGTGGTTTCGTTGTATAAGAACAAAGGTGATATCAAGATTTGTAACAACTATAGGGGTATCATATTACTGAGTCATACCATGGAAGTTTGGGAGAAGGTGGTGGATGTGAGGGTGAGGAGGATGGTTTCTATATCTGACAACCAGTTTGGGTTCATGCTGGGTCATTCGACTACAGAAGCTATCCACCTTATTAGGAGGTTGGTGGAACAATATAGGGAGATGATGAAGGATATGCACATGGTGTTTATTGATTTGGAGAAAGCGTATAACAAGGTTCCAAGAGAGATTCTCTGGAGATGCTTGGAGGAAAAAGGTGTGCCAATTGCCTACATTAAGGTGATTAAGGACATGTATGATGGAACTAAGACTCGGGTTAGGACAGTAGGAGGAGACTCAGAGCTTTTCCTGGGCAAAGGTCTAACTCATTTGTTTTATGCAGAAAATAAGGCATGAAATCCCCATGTGGCATGGTTCAGAACATCCCACCGTAGATGATTAATTGGTGGAACAACTTCGTACTGTGTGATAGGAATCATGTAAGAAGGGTACTGGATAATTTACCATCCTTAATGGACATCCGGCCAAGCAGAGAACTAATTGAGGCAGACATTATGTTTTGGGATGAAAAGAGAGTCGTCTTTCGGTTTGGAAATATGGAGACAACTCCCCTTTTGGAAGAAATGAGAGGCTTCACCAAACTTCCATGGGATAGTCCAGATCTGTTAGTGCCAGAAAATTGTACCCCACGTGGCTTTCTAAAAGTGGATGGGTTCAAGAAGAATAATGAGTTGGTTTGAGTAGAGAAGTCCTACATTCCCTTCGACTTTCTCTATGAATGGTATGGACACATCAAATCATATCGCTTGTATCATGAGGAATTGGCCATCACCTCCGTAGGATGGTTTCATTGTCGAGTTTATGTCTTATAGTCTATTTTCTGGGTTTGCTGATTTTCCCAATGCATGGAGGGAAAATTCACACTCGTTTAGCCATGGTCGCAAGGACCATGATGGAAGGAATTGAGGGACAAAACTACACTATTGTTCCTATGCTACTAGCTGAGATGTAATGGGCCTTGGATTGATGCAAGCATGGGGCTAGGTATTTTGAGGGGTGCAATCTTCTGCGTCTAGATTTCTCGCGTAGGCCATTGAATGACTATATTGATAATCATCATTCAAAGAAGATGACATTCACACTTGATAGATTTGCAAAACCTGCAAATGTTGAAGGATGGATACGCCTCTTCAGCATCCTGACTGATGAATAGGTACACTCGATGTTCGAGCGGTTTCCCAGCAAAGAGTTCATAATCCGATCCAAAAGGGCCACCCATTTGGTGTTGATTGGGTTGCGAGGCATATTCGCTTATGCTCCTATAAGGGTAATGAGGCAAGCTGGAAGGAAATAGGTTATACCCCGGGTATCCAACATGACTCAATACAAGGCAAACTTCAAAGGCGACGTCATCCCTTTCAAGTTCGAGGCTCAGCACATGTGGAATCTAAAGATCATTGTAGATGGAGAGACTTTAGAGCCTGACAGGTATCATGCTGGTCATATTTACTACATTTCCTAGCTAGAAGGTGATATAACCGGGGATGTCAAAACGGGAATCAACCTGAAAGGAAGGATGATAGATGAAGAGGTCGAGGCTCAGGTAAAATACAAAAGGTTGCGCAAGAGGGTTTTCGAATCTGAGGCGAAGCACGTGGAACAATACAAGACAGACAAGGAAGCAATAAAGGAGTGGAATGAGATAGCAAGCAAGTCAATAGAAAGGTTGGAGCACTTAGAACAAGGGCTGATGGAGTTAGAGGGGAAGATGAGGAAGAGACTCTAGGACTGCCAGGGTACGGACTATGACAAAAGACGAAAGCTAGCAATTGCTTACTTGCTGCTCGACATGCACGGGCTTGTGAGTGTGATCGTTGGAGCCCAAAGGGCGAAGCATGGAGAGGGTCCATATGGGATCACGTTAGTTCGTGCATTATATAACACCAAATCCAGAGGTCCTCCCCCTCCCCTTAACAATATCAAAAGCAAGGGTAAAGGAAAGATGGATATTTTGAGTGGCAACAGGAAAGACAATGCTCCTATGGCAGAGAATATGGAGACTTCAGATGGAATAAGTACACTGGGGCAGAAGGAACTGGTTCTGCTATTAGAACAAAATTTTTTTGAGTTACAAGGCGAGCTAGAGCAGGTCGACAACCTCGCACCT